GTCTACGAGACATTTACGAATATACGTTATCAACTGAATCTCACATTGAAAAACTAGAATTATTAGATACATACATACATAAAGCAATATTTAGGGTTTTTTTCAGTTAGGCTTGGAATCAATCAATTTCTTGGAGCTTCGAAAGGACGGATCGTCTCTCGTTGAACTCGGAACGCTATAGATTATACTAAGGTTGATTAACAAGTCAAATGCACATGAAGCCTGATTAACCAAACAACACAAATAAAAATACCAGAATTTCTCATTCTCTGATAAAACAATAATAAAAGCGATTTCCTATTTAACATCTATTCTATCATAGATATATAGATACATTGAACATTTAGATAGATAGATAGATAGATAGATAGATAGATAGATAGATAGAAAAAATATTACCAGCAATAAAATCTTGTCGGCATTAAATAACCCATTGAGGTTGATATGTCGTAAAACAAAAAAAAAAAAACGTAAACCAATATATACTGAGATAGATAGATAGATAGATAGAAAGAAAGAAAGAAAGAAAGAAAGAAAAAAAAAAAAAAGATAGAAAAAAATTAGTTGGCTATAATGCTAAGATCTTTATGACCACGTGAAAGACAAAGTGAAATATAATTTAGAATCACATATAGAAAAAAAAATGGACTCATCTTACATGCATAAAGCAATATTTACGTTTTTTTTTTTCAGTTAGGCTTGGAAGCAGTTAATTTCTTGGAATTTGGATAGGACGCCTCGCCTTGTTTTTGCGACGTCACAAATTATACTAACGATTACTTAATATATATATATATATATATATGAAGAAATTTTGAAAAAACAAACAAAAATTAAGAAAATTGAAAGTTATCTGTTTTGAATAAGACGTTGTGTTTTTATGTCCATCGTATTTGACAATATTCATTGAACTGAATTCAGTTTTTGATGAATATTGACTTAAAAAAAGGTTTATTAAACCGAAACGTCAGACGTCGAATTTTCATTTAACTATATTTAAGGATTTTTGTTTGTTTTTTCAAAATTTCTTCATTCTGTCGGATTTATATCCATTTACACTTGCTTATATATATATATATATATATTGTTTGAATAAAAGACAGACCACGTTAAGATTCCATGTAATAAGCTATTTCACCATAACCCCTTTAACAGGGTTCTGGATCATCAGACTTTACTTCCAAAAGCTAAAATGAAAAGAAATTCACACGTTTTTTACGGACCTCATCAAGTATACGCAAAGTTAACGAAATGAGGAAGTGAGGTGGGAGAGAGAGGATATGAGTGTGTCATATGTATCATTTTAGTTTCCTATTTTAACCCCAATGTGTCGGCTAGATGTTGCTCAAATTTAACGCGTCTCGTCTCTAGATAAAGGTGGCTAAGGGGTGAATGATAAGAACGACATTAAAGGAAGACGTTACAACAACCCCAATAAATTACACGACAGGTTTCATTCAAAATCTTTGACGCTGTCAGTTCGCGTTACTTTAACGTGCATATTTGGGAGGTTAAGGTTTGATAAATATCTAAATGTTAAAACAATCTACGAAGAAATTAATTTGAAATTCGGTGGGATTTTGGGTATTTTCTATGAAACAGTCGATTGGAAAAATCCATAGACAGAACATTGAAAGAGCAATCCATTTTATATTTTATATTTAGTAATTTTTTTTTTCCACTAAAACTTTTATCTTATAGCTTGTTAGGTTGACATCTATTCGTTTGATTTTTGTTCATTAAGTAAACTCGAGATTGTTTTTGATTTTTGTTCATTAAGTAAACTCGTGATGGTTTTTATGTACCCAATTATCAACAGTTATTCCCATTTAAATAATTTTATTCTCCACACTGGGGGAGTATCTTTCAATCTCAATTAAAATACCAATCTAAACTTTCCCTTCGTGCTATTTAAAATTCACTTCCAATTGGAGAATACTAGAGGAGAAATTTGGAAGAGATGTCACTAGCAGAAAATTAGGTCCTTCTTTTACAATTTCTTATCTACACATGTCTTAAACCCCTATTTGTAACCACATACGTATATCTTCTTATATGGCTATGAGTTCCTATATAAACCTACACACACATTCACACGAAACGACCATATGTATATTTCCATCTTTACACATATACATCTGCAGAGAAAACGCACATCCACATGTCTCCATACCTATCTCCATATATATTTATACTTATATATATACATATACACACAAGGACATCTGCATATCCATATATATTCATACGCACATATATATATTTACACATCCATACGTATACACATATACACATACATACACACCCATATATGCATATATACATACACACATACATATACATACACACACATATGCATATGCATACGCAATGTGCAGCATATCTACATACCCACATATGCGTTAATTTGCACTTACATATATCTACCCACGTATTTGTCCCTATCCTCATGTCCCCCCGTGCATCCACTTATGCCTGCGTTCGAAGACTATCTCAGTATTTAATTATATTATCTATATATTTACACATATAATATTACCTGATCTTTCATATTTATGGCAAAACATATAAGTACCTATCTAATTGTACATCTCCACACTCACAAAAAAAAACAAAAAAAAACAAAAAACAAAAACTGGTATGCTTCTTTTTCCGTATAAAAACATATGCATGTACATATCAACAGGTGTCTCAGTGTGCAAATACATTATCATAGTTGTATACATATAGTCATGTGTTAGCGTTCACGTGTGCATAGTAACATTTCTAAAAACAAAGGGAATATAAAACATTCAAAATTGCTGTTCCTATATGATTATTTCTTAGTGTACTTGCTTAGGTTTAGGTTGTTTTTGTGCCGGCATTTAAAAACTAGTTCATTGCGTCTATTTAGTAGTATGTCTGGATCTTTATGTTTGATTATGAAGATTTTCTCCTTCAAACATAAGTTGCATCTGTCTCCGAAGTCTTTGGGAGTTCTGGCTCTTGATATTATTCTCCACTTTATTTGTGGTGTTAGGCCACTCTCCAATAAAGACAAATAATGATTTGATAGTGCTGTTTGTTTTTTTTTACATTTATTTTTGAAGGATTGGCGATGGTTGTATAGTCGGTGTTTCCAATCTCCCGCTGATATTCCAATGTATATCTTTTTCTCTTCAACCTTTTGAAGATATATATATATATATATATATATATATATATATATATATATATAGGCTGTCCATAAAGTTCATGTGCACTTTAAAAATTATAACTTTGTTTGTATTTGCGATGGAAATAATTTGTAAAAAGGATTAGAAAGAAGTAAATCTATTTTTTTTTAAGGTTTTATTGAAATTTTATTTAAGTTTCCACATGTCCTCCATCATTAGCAATACAAAGGGTAATACGATTTTGCAGTTCACGGAAAATATTTGCCAACTGATTTACAGTAATGCCTGAAATCACATTAGTTCTTTTAACTATACTTAAAACTAGGTACATTAAACTTTATAACGTTTTTTACAAATCATCTCTATCGCAAAGAAAAATAAAGTTATAATTTTTTGAAGTGCACACGAACCTTATGGACGACCTGTATATATATATATATATATATATATATATATATATATATATATATATATATATATATATAAAGAGAGAGAGAGTAAGAGAAAGATATAGGGAGAGAGAATGAGAAAGTATTATAATTTTTACTGTTAATGATTTTACTATAATGAAAAAACTGATAATAAAAAATATAGGGATTGTCTGTGGTCAGGAAGCGTTACTGAGAGAATCGTGTTTGTTAACTCGTAGAAGGACAAATGCGATTTTGACATAAGCGGATGTAATTGCGTTTGCACAGAAAAAACATATATATATATATATATATAAATGTATATTTATACATGGATATATATATATATATATATATATATATATATATATATATATATATATATATAGGTATATGATATATGATATCATAAAGCAAGGAATAAAAGCTAACCAAGCGAAGAATTTATCTGGTAAAGCAAATCTTTTCTAACGAGCTAAGGAATTTGGCGGAAGGATGATGACGCCTCGACTGCTGCTCGCTCATTTCTGCCTCATATATCAAGCGAGTTTCCCCAGGTGATCGGCTGATTTGTTTTGTTACTCGCGTACAAGGCCATTTTCCGCTTGAGTGCAATGATCTTCCGCACAGGCTCCATCCACACCGCTTCTTTTCTCTAAATTGCGCCTAGCATTTGCCATCTACAATACATCCTGATGCATAACAGTAAAGGCGGTCGGGTTGGTTTAGTGGTTTAGATAGATATGAGTAGGTATACACACACACACACATATATATATATATATATATATATATATATATATATATATATATATATATATATATACATATAGAGAGAGAGAAAGAGGAAGAGAGGCAGATAAATAGATAGAGAGTGAGAGAGAGACAAATTAAGGAGATAGTTTACATTGGGAGAAGTCTAAAAAACATATGATTGGTAAATCAATGTGATAGATAGATAGATAGATAGATAGAAACAGATTAAGAGAGGTAGAAAGACTGTTGGTTAAACCAGATGAATATATATATATATATATATATATATATATATATATATATATATATATAGAGAGAGAGAGAGAGAGAGAGAGAAGAGAGAGAGAGAGAGATAGAAACAGATTAGAAACAGATTAAGAGAGATAGAAAGACTGTTGGTTAAACCAGATGAATATATATATATATATATATATAGATAGATAGATAGATAGATAGATAGATAGATAGATAGATAGAAAAACAAATTAAGTTTATATTGGGAGACAGACAAAAACTTCTGATTGGTAAATCAATGTGATAGATAGATAGAAACAGATTAAAAAAATAGAAAGTCTGTTGGTTAAACTCGAGGAATATACACATTCTCGCAGTGTAAACTATCTCGCTTAATTTGTCTCTCTCTCACTCTATCTATTTATCTGCCTCTCTTCCTCTCTATCTATCTATATATATATGTGTGTGTGGGTGGGGGTGTAGATAGATAGATAGATAGATAGATAGATAGATAGATAGATAGATAGATAGACAACAGAGAGAAAGCTCTATACGAACAGTCATATATATATATATGAACATAGGATTGTTCGGATACACCGAGCAAACACCCGTACGAATACACACACACACACACACACAGACATATATATATATATATATATATATATATATATATATATATATATATATAAATTTAAAAAAAAAAATTATCGTAAATATTATGTATCAACAAAATTTCGAAAATAAAGAAATCCGAAAGGAATATCAAATTGATAGTAAAAAGTAAGCAAAAAATTACGATAACATGTGTAGAAAAAGCGGAAATAAATAAACCGAAAAATAGCAGGAAGGGTGAATGGAATATTTAAGAAGATAGCTAAAAAGAAAAGGACTGTTTTGAAGAGAAAGAAAAGAAAAATAGTAACTGGAAAATAAAGAAAATGAAAACTGTTAAAAAAAAACGTAAAAGAAAACGAATTGTATGAAAAGAGAAGAAAAGAAAAAAAAGGGTGTAAAGAGGGAAAGGAAGAAAAGAAGACAAATATAAACGCAATCAAAAAGAAATTTCTTAGGGAAAAGGAAAGAGTAAACGAAAACGGAAAAGACGTAGCTTTATCTGATTTTGTCTCCAGAAGGCAAATATTGGATGTACTTGAATGATAAAACTAAGAATACCTCCACAATAATTGGTGCAGAGTAAACGAACACAAACAAGAAATAACTTCTCGGTGCGTAAGGCAGCGTTGCAAGTCAGGCAATTTCTCTAAATGGACAGACGGATTGAATTATGCATGCAACAATGGCGGACTGGGGTCGGAACTTTTGGCGCTAATTTTCAGTAAAAGGGCGGGAAACCGTCGTGTGGATGGATTGAATAGAAATGGAGCGAATATACCGATTGAAAACATGGGGATCTCAAAATAGGATCGAATAAGTGACGTCAAATAAAAAAAAAAAAAAAAATAGAAAGAACTGGGGTAGGGTGAAGGTGTTTGACCGAAATGGAAAACATTAAATAAAAAAAAAATTAAATTAAAAAAATCGGCGAAAAGTATAGCAGAAAGATTTAAAATCAAACAAAAGAGAGATAGAACTAAATAAAAAAAAAAGAATGAAAAGTGATATAGAGATAATCACATAAAGAACGAGAGAAATCGAGAAAGAGAGAAAGAGAATAAAAGAATATATAAAATAGAAAAAGAAAGGAAAGATAATTTGGATAAAGAAGAAATCACACATAGTTGTAATAACAAGATGAATTTAGAGTTAAACAAAAGCAGAAACAATGAAAGAAAAGTATTTAAAAAAATAATTAAATGGTGAAAAAGAAGCAATAATTAAAAAAAAAACAGTGATGCAGAGGCAGAAGAAAGAAAGAAAGAAAGAAGGAAAGAAGAAAGAACGAAAGAAAGAAAAAAGAAAGAAGAAAGAAGTGAAAGAAAAAACAAAGAAAAAGAATGAAAGAAAGAAAGAAAGAAAGAAAGAAAAATAAAAAACAAAGAGATAGCAAAGTAAAGAAAAAATTAACATAATTATAATAAAGAATAAGATTAATACACAAACCAGAACACAGAAGAAAAACCAATAAACGAATGAAAGAAAGAAAGGAAGGAAGAAAGGAAAGAAGGAATGAAGGAAGGAAGGAATGAAGGAAGGAATGAATAAAGGAAGGAAAGAAGGAAGGGAGGAAAAAAGAAAGAAAGAAAGAAACAAACAAACAAAAAAGAAAGAAATGGCAAAGAAAAGAAAAATTAACACAATTATAAGAAAGAATAAAATGAATACACAAACAAGAATCCAGAAAAAGAACAAGCAAACAAACGAAAGGAAGGAAGGAAGGAAGGAAGGAAGGAAGGAAGGAAGGAAGGAAGGAAGGAACAAAAAACAAAGAGAGGGCAAAGAAAAAATTGACAAAATTATAGCAAAGAATAAGATGAATACACAAACAAGAATACAGAAGAAAAACAAACGAAAGAAAGAAAGAAAGAAAGAAAGAAAGAAAGGAAGGAAGGAAGGAAGGAAGGAAGGAAGGAAGGAAGGATGGAAGGGAGAAATAAAGAAAGAAAGAAAGAAAGAAAGAAAGAAACACACAAACAAAAAAGAAAGAAAGAAAGAGATGGCAAAGAAAAGAAAAATTAGCAAAATTATAACAAAGAATAAGATGAAGCCACTAACAATAATATAGAAGAAAAACCAAGCAAACGAAAGAAAGAAAGAAAGAATGAAAGAAAAAGAAAGAGACGAAAAAGAAAAAATAACAAAATTATATAAAATAACATGATAAATGCACAAACAAGAATATTGAAGGGAGCCAAGAAAACGAAAGAAAGAAAGGAAGAACGAAAGAAAGAAAAAGTAAAGATAAAAAGAATGATAAAAAGAAACATCATGAAAAGATAAAGAAGGAAAATGAAGCAAGCAAACGAAAGAAGAACAAAGCGATATTAAGGAGTAAAAGAAAAGAAAGAAAGAAAGAAAGAAAGAAAGGAAGAGACAGAGAGACAAGCAAATAGAAAACAGGAAAATTAGATAAATCCCAGTTGAAATAACAAAGGGAATGAAGGAACGGAGCAAAGAAAACAGAAAAGAAAGGAAAAAAAGAAGAAACGAAGTCAGAAATAGTTGAAGAAAAGAAAGTTATGAGAAAAGTAAATAATAATAGGCAGAACGATGGAATAAAGAAATAAAGAAAGAAGGAAAGAGAGAAATTAAGGAAAAAAGAAAGAAAAAAGTTAAAACAATAGAAAATAAGAAAAAAGGAAAGGAAAGAAAAAAAGAATGAGTGAAATAAACGGGAAGCACAGAGAAAAATAAATCATAAGAAAAAGAACAATAAAAGAGGGAAAAAACTGGTAGAAATTACAGACAACGAAAGAAAAAAAAAGAATAGAAAGACAATGGTTTAAATTGTGAAAAAGAGCAAATAATCGAAAGAACAACGGTAAGAAAGAAAGGAAGGAAGGAAGAAGAAAGAGAGAAAGAAAGAAACTTTAAAGTAAAGAAAAAGAAGGAAAATTATGACAGAAGGTGTTCCTTCTGTCGTAATTTTCCTTCTTTTTGAATTCACAAGAAAGAACAAAAAATTTAGAGTGAGAGAGAAATAAACGCAAAAAAAGAAGAGAAAGAAAGAAAAAAGAAAATGAAAGTCAAATCAAAATTTAAATAAGAGAGAAATAAAAACAAAGAAAGAAAGAAAGAAAGAAAGAAGTCAAATCAAAATTCAAAGTGAGAGAAAAATAAACGCGAAGAAATGAAAGAAAGAAAGAAAGTCAAATCAAAATGAATTCACAAACAAAGAACAAAAAACAAGCTTAGAAACAATTAATATAAAAAAATAAAGAAATAAACGTTAAAAGAAACAAAATACAGAAACAAAAACACAAAAATATCAGGCTAACAAATTATAAAAAGAAAGAAAGAAAGAATGCTAAATCAAAATTCAGAGTGAGAGAGAAATAAACGCAAAGAAAAGAAAAGAAGAGAAAAGCAAGAAAGAAAAAAGAAAAAAGAAAAAGGATGTCAAATCAAAATTTAGAATAAGAGAGAGATAAACGCAAAGAAAGATAGAAAGCAAGAAAGCAAGCAAGAAAGCAAGCAAGAAAGAAAGAAAGAACGACAGAAAGAAAGAAAAAAGTCAAATCAAAATTTAGAGTGAGAGAGAAATAAACGCAAAGAAAAGAAAGAAAGAAAAAAAAAATGAAAAAAAAAATTTTGAAAAGAAACGAAAAGAAAATAGAAAAAGAAAAGAAAGAAAGAAAGTCAAATCAAAATTTAGAATGAGAGTAATAAAGAAAAGAAAAGCGCAAAGAAAAAAGAAAAAAAAAAGAAAGAAAAAAGAAAGGAAAAAAAAAAAAGAAAGTCAAATCAAAATTAAGAATAAGAGAAAAGAAAATAAAAGAAAAGAAATGAAAGAAAAGAAAGAAAAAAAAGAAAGTCAAATCGAAATTAAGAATAAGAGAGAAATAAACGCAAAGAAAGAAAGAAAGAAAGAAAGAAAAAAGAAAGAAAGGAAAAAGAAAGAAAGAAAGTCAAATCAAAATTTAGAGTGAGAGAGAAATAAACGCAAAGAAAAGAAAAGAAATTAAGAAAAAAGAAAATGAAAGTCAAATCTAAATTCAGAACGAGAGAGAAAGAAACGCAAACAAAAGAAAGAAAGGAAGGAAGGAAAAAAGGAAGAAAGAAAGAAAGAAAGAAAGAAAGAACGTAGCTGATAGAGATCTTAAACGACGAAAGAAAAAAACAAAACACAAACGCCAATGAAATGTGAGTTGAGCAAAAATTATAGAAAGATTATGAGAAAGACGCAATTTAGCGGAAACTCCAATAGACGAAGAATCCGTCACAGGGGAACAGAAAGCGCCATTCTCAAAGGGAGATAATCTCAAAAGTGGAGAAATTAATCAGTCTGATAACGATAAACTCTTAATAGAATACAAAATGTAATAGTGTCAGGGTATGTGTAGCGTGTGGTAAAAAGCTATCATCCTGATCAAGAAGTAACTAGAAAAAAATAGTAAGATTTTGGAAAGATGGTTGTCTGAGAACTTTTCAGTATTTCCTCGTATAATATCTGTCTATATTCCTGAAGTGAGGTATTGTAATTATTTACATTGTTCGGACTCTTGACCTCATCTTTATTGCCATAATCACGTTCCTGAAGAACACATGGCCCAGTGGAGAAAAGCTTTGGTTAGATCCAGTTATTTGACCTAAAGAGTTGTGTGTTCAATACCTTGTTACTTAAACTGGGACATCTGGGTGAGGCATGGCACATGGAACTAGAACAATCTATCGACGTGGACGAAATAAATGGATCAGTTCGAAAACCCAATCATCTGAAGAATGGCGTAGCGTACAACAGCTGAAACGTCGTGAATATGGCAACAAAGATGAGGATCGCAGCCCGAACTATGTAAATAGTGAAAAAAGAAGTACTCTACTATAGGAAAAAGTATAGGACTTTTATAATCACCAATAAATGTATACAATATGCAAGATAATAATAGATTTTAACGAAAGATGGTCCGCGTGTTCTTATAGAAGATAGATGGTCCGCGTACAGATTTAATTCTATTCATATGAATCTACACTAAAAATTGTTGTCGGCATTAAATAACCCATTGAGGTTGATATGCCGTTAAACAAAATAAACCAAAGCAATCTAAACCAAAGAATACATATTCTATTCATACGAATCTATCCTAAAAATGTCGGCATGAAATAACCCATTGAGGTTGATATGAGTTAAAACAAAATAAACGAAAGCAAACCATACCAAACGTCTAATATTTGCTGCCATAAAGAAATACAGACGTCACGTAACAGTTCAATATTCTTTAGCCTTATTAAAAGAGGTGCCAGAGGTGCGAAAATATTGGTGATCCACCTGTATGTTGATTTGGCCTTTCTCTTTTTCTCTCTGTTTTCCTCTGCATTTCTGACTCCTTCAATATTTTTTTTTCTTATTCTTCATTTCACTCTCAATTCCTATCTTTATGCGTAACCCCTTCTTCTTTCTGTTTCCCAGGCTTTCATTTGTTATTTTTCTTCTTTTTTCTTTTTCCGGCTTCGAAGTAAAGGCCGTTCCAATATCTTGGACCTATTTTAAATGTGAATTAAGTTTAAAGATTGTTTTTCTTTTTCTTTCAGATTTGGAGGACATTTGGGTGATATTATTTTTCACACATAGTTGTCATGACTTAAATAACATGACCCAATAGAGAAATAAATAAATTTTCTCCAATAACATTTATTATTAACTGCTGATTTTCATCCGTCCTAATGAAACACGCTTATATATAATCCGTCTTAATGAAACACCTTTATATATATATATATATATATATATATATATATACCCACTCTCTTTCTCTCTCACTTACACGCACACACACGCACACACACACATACACACACACACACAGAGAAAAAGTTATAAAAAAGGCAAAAATAAAACAAAAAAACCTGCAAACATTTCGCAATGGATCACAGATATCGAACAATGAAAGTTTTATAAAAGAATTATATATTTACACACACTTATATGTAGTTATCGTTGTGTATATGTATGTATGTATATTGGCATGTATGTAAGTCAATTGGCCACCATTATCTTGCGACTTGAGGCCTTTAGATTTCTTCATTTGGGTTAAAAGCAAATTCTATGCTAACAAGCCAAGAACAATCCAACAGCTGAAGGGTGAGATAATAAGGCATGTTGGTGAGATCGAGGAGCAACT